GCAAACCTGAGAAACAGGAAGCAGAAATCAGAGGAATCAGCGAGTCTCCGTCTGCTGCTGAGCGTTTATCTGATCGTGCGAGCGTCTCACCGTTCTCCTCGGCAAACTGTTTGGCCTCCTCGTACGTCACGTCTCTCTGAGCCTCCAGGTCGGCCTTGTTGCCGATCAGAATGATCACCTACGACACGGAGACACGCAGACTGAGCAGCGACTCTTCAGCGCGTCACAGGTTAAAGGATGTTTCGTGCACAGCAGCTTAACAGGTGTTTGTTAGCTGCACGGGGTTACTGCCATAAACGTGAGCAGGGATGTAATAACTGTTTACTTGTAGCTGCGGTCCAGCCAAGTCTGTTTACGCACCGCAGCTCTGGGTCACTTTCACCTTCAGACTCCATTTTGAAATCATTCTCTCTCTCCTGCCTGAAAAGAAGATTTAAAAGAGTCGCCACAGAAGTCTGCGTGGGCGCACTCACCGTGTTTGGGTTGGTCAGGTTCCTGGCGTCCGTCAGCCAGCTGCTCAGGTGATTGTAGGTACTTCTCCTGAACACACAAAAATAACAAAGTCAATACACTCTCTGAACGTTTGTCTGACATTTAGTCCACAGCAGCATCGACTGTCAGGGCGCCATCAGAGTCACCGCCTGGCAAATATTTAGTCTGGATGAGAATCCTACAAAGGAACCGGTTCTTGGTCGACCTGCTGCTTTCAAGTCACTCTCTAAGATTTAAACATTACCGCCCACCATCAGCCAAGAGCAGGTGGAGGCCTCCATCAACAACCTGATCACATGAAACATAACACTACTTTTAAAGGGACAGTCTACACCCTGCATCACACATGAGTGTGATCCACAAAAAATTCACTCATGCAGGAACTTTTTCCTTTCTCACGTCTACATTCAAAAGTGGCTTCAGGGCGATTAATGTTTTAAGGTTGATCCTACAATAATACACACAGAGAAAAACCCAACAATCATATGACCCCCTATGAGCAGCACTTTGGTGACAGTGGGAAGGAAAAACTCCCTTTTAACAGGAAGAAACCTCCAGCAGAACCAGGCTCAGGGAGGGGCGGGGCCATCTGCTGCGATTGGTTGGGGTGAGAGAAGGAAGACAGGATGAAGACATGCTGTGGAAGAGAGACAGAGGTTAATAACAGATATGATTCGATGCAGAGAGGTCTGTTAACACATAGTGAGTGAGAAAGGTGACTGGAAAGGAAAAACTCAATGCATCATGGGAATCCCCCGGCAGCCTACGTCTATTGCAGCATAACTAAGGGAGGATTCAGGGTCACCTGGTCCAGCCCTAACTATATGCTTTAGCAAAAAGGAAAGTTTGAAGCCTAATCTTGAAAGTAGAGATAGTGTCTGTCTCCTGAATCCAAACTGGAAGCTGGTTCCACAGAAGAGGGGCCTGAAAACTGAAGGCTCTGCCTCCCATTCTACTTTTAAATACATGGACAGATAGAGCTGGGTGTCATCAGCATAGCAGTGTAAATGTATGCTATGTCTTCTAATGATGCTGCCTAAGGGAAGCATGTATAATGTAAACAGAATTGGTCCTAGCACTGAACCCTGTGGAACTCCATAATTAACCTCAGTGTGTGAAGAGGACTCTCCATTTACATGCACAAACTGGAGTCTATTAGATAGATATGATACAAACCACTGCAGCGCAGTACCTGTAATACCTACAGCATGTTCTAATCGCTCTAATAGGATATTATGGTCGACAGTATCGAACGCTGCACTGAGGTCTAGCAGGACAAGCACAGAGATGAGTCCACTGTCAGAGGCCATAAGAAGATCATTTGTAACCTTCACTAAAGCTGTTTCTGTGCTGTGATGAGCTCTGAAACCTGACTGAAACTCTTCAAATAAACCTCTGCAGATGATCTGTTAGCTGTTTGACAACTATTTCAAGGATGTTTCAGATCCACCAAAACAAAAAAAGCTGAGCACAGAGATAATGCTCAGTTCCTCATGCCTCAGTGCACACTTCCTCCTGCACAGTGATATAGCTGGTGGATGTAGACTGTAGAAAGAAAATAGTTCCGACGTGAAGCCGCTCACCGGAGCGTCTGTGGATCACTTCCATTTTTATCAGTTTACTTTGTTTTAACTGACATATTTAATCTAACATGACTTTACATACACCTTCATCATTTATTATTCATCTAATGGTTCGACTTTTTCTACTAGGACAGAAACTTACATTCATTTCGTGTATGTTTTGTATGAAATGATCTTCACTGCATATCTGATTTGTTTTGTTGGTTTTTGTCTTTTTATCAGTTTGTGATCTCAAACAACAAAGTGCTGAATTAGCAGCTCGACAGGACGGAGCAACCAGAGTTTTACATTTATGGTGAACTGTCCCTTTAAGTAAACAGGACACAGATTTCTCCTCCTCCATCCACCCTCGCCTGCCTAGGTACCTGGTGATGTCGTAGACCATGAGGGCCCCGGCGGCCCCCCTGTAGTAGGACCTGGTGACGGCCCTGAACCGCTCCTGACCCGCCGTGTCCCATATCTGCAGCTTCACCTTCTGCCCGTGGACCTCCATGATCCTCGTCCCGAACTCCACCCCGATGGTGTGAGGACAGTCTGCCATGACTGCAGCGCGCGCGCGCACACACACACACACACACACACACACACACACACACACACACACACACACACACACACACACACAGGAATTGGACGGGCAGTGGTCACCAACAGGTAAGTAAAGGTAAAAATGTTTGTGTTTGTCGCTGTCTCAGGGACAAACACACGAAATCTGTTATCAGAATGAATTTCATGAAACCATCCAGATAGAATCAAACACACGAGTCGCTTTTTGTTTTTTTCCTAGCATAACAAACTGAATGCTAAAAGCTAATCTATTTACATTGTTCATCAATTCAAAGAAATCCTGTTAAATGTTTCCAAAGTTGGAGGTTTACGGTTACATCAAAATGAAGAAAAAAAAACATAAATCGATATTTATGAAGCCCGAACTTGACACTTGATCATTATTAAGATATTTATATGATAAACTAGAGCCGTGCTGTTAAACAGCTAAGACGGATTCCTAATCAACAAACTTGACATTATTAGAAAAAAGACTAAAAGTCAGCCTGAACTGATTTTCCACTGCTTGCCTTTCAAAATAAAAGACCTAGAAACACAGGCTGTACCACTTTGCCCCTCATACCCAAACAGTGGTGGTAAATTTTAAATATCCATAACTCACAATTTCATCATACATGTATAATAACAATAAAAGCCTATTCTATTCTATTCTATTCTTAAACTTCAGTAAACAAAGAGAAGAAGAAAAGCAGCACTCACACTTCTTCTCTGTGAACTGATGCAGCAGACACGACTTCCCGACTCCCATATCACCTGCAGACAGACAAACACAGGTGAGGTCGGCCACCAAGGCTGACAGTGATCAGGAAACACCCGGATGAAGCGTTTTTACTCCCCGTGATTGAAGTGTTCCTGCTCATTCACCGTCCAGTTTCACTCCTGGACTTTACCAGAGCAGCGCTGCATGAGTCACAGCTCAACATCGTCTTTATTTAATATCTGCACCCGCTGCAGACACTCCACATTTACCAGCGCCAGGTTCTGCACTTCTGCAAGCTTAGTCTAGAAGGAGGGAGTTTACTGATGTGAGGGGCAGCGGTCACGGATACAGAACGGTTATTATAAACGGACTCATGCAAAGCTGCTCTGGCAGAGCTGCGGGAGTAAACACAGGAGCTGGAGCTCGGGTCACTCACCGATGATGATGTATTTGAAGATGTAGGAGTAGTTGTAAGGTGCGGCTGTCATCGTGATCCTGTGGAGAGAAAACAAAGAAATGTGTTTGGTTTAAACCGAGAACCTGAGCTCAAACACGGGGCTCCACCCTCGGTCTGAGCCCGGTCACAGTGATCCTCGGAGCTCGGTCTGAGCCTCCAAACACACCGAGTGAGACACAAACAGCTCAGAGAAGGAAGCAGCCGGCTGAGCTAGCAGAAGCTAACGCCGAGCCCAGCGTTAGCTTTAAACACCGTGACAGCCCCGCGGAGAGGAAGCTTTCATCCTCATCACACGTATGAAACGCTGACGGCTCAACCACAGGAACCCCCCGAGGAGTCCCCCGAGCCCCCCTGGAGCTCCACTCCTGGAGCTAAGTGGCTAACAGCTGCACTGCTGTCTACGCCTTGCTAACAGCTAAACGCTAACGGCAGGAGGTCACTTTCTGAAGCTTTTACAGTAAAAACAACCGAATAATAAACCAATCAGACAGGAGGCGTTACACGTCGCTGTGTTTTACCTTCAGTCCGGGTGTCTATCCGACCTGTAAAGCTGCTTAAAACGCTGGTTCGCCGGGTAGTTTTATCTAACTTGATGGGTCGCTTGCTGAGCCGTCAGGAAAATCTTCTACCTCTTCCGCGACTCTTCCTCATCAAGGAGAAAAGAGGTAGTATCGCGAGACTTACAGCTTCCTACTGCCGCCCAGCGGACGAGAAGGGGATTTAGACACACCCAACCGTCCCGTTTGTAACTTTATTTATTTACATCTTTCTTTCTTTCTTTCTTTCTTTCTTTCTTTCTTTCTTTCTTTCTTTCTTTCTTTCTTTCTTTCTTTCTTATTTTTTTAAAGTGACCCAAATTAGTTAATAGAAGCTCTTGTTTCTATAGATATATGTTACCAAATTACTGCGACAATGAAAAACACTGAAAAATGTGACGATTGTCTGCAGGTTTGCAGTCAGAAACAGAAGGGTTCCTTTACCCTTTAACTCCTAATGGGGTTCACAGAGGTCATATGTAGTTATTTTGAAAATGTTTGACTGAAATAAATGAGCTTCTAATGTTGCAAGAAGGTCCTGAATTAGGCTCCACCATCAGGCTGGGGTCTTTTTGTGTGGAGTTTGCATGTTCTGTCCAGGTACTCCAGCTTCCTCCCACATTCCAAAGACATGCAGTTAGTGGGGTTAGGTGGAAACACTAAATTGCCCATAGGTGTGAATGGTTGTCTTTCTCTTTGTGTTAGCCCCGTGACGACTGGTGTCCACTCCAGTTTGTGTCCTGCCTCTCGGCCTACAACAGCTGGGATAGGCTCTACCACCCCCGGGACCCTGACAAGCGGAAGCAGCAGAGGATGGATTTTGTCGATACAGTTGGACAAATGAAAACATACATTATATTTATTGAAAACATAAACTTGGTTTAATATAAGTAAATTACAGGATATTCTCAAGTAGAAGAATAACTTATATTTCTAAATAAAAAGAGGCCTGAGTAATTTTGTAATCCAGCTGCTCTCCCTCGATTTTCTGATAGCTGTGGAATTATTATTATTATTATTATTATTATTATTATTGTTATTATTATTACTTTAGTTTGTGGAGCATCACTGAAGAAACCCTTAAAGCCAGAATGTTAGCAGATATTTTTCTTCTTGTGTATTTTCTAAATGTGTTTGTGTACTGGATGATAACAGTGGGCACATTGTTAAAGTGACTTTGTATTTAAGGTTTCTCTGTGCATGCCCGTGCATAATGAGAGCACTGGCTCGCCCTCTCTCTCCTCCCTCCTGTGCTGAGGTCACAGACGCGTTCAGACAGACTCGCCTGGCAGAACTCAAACTGCTTCTCACAGAGCAGATAGAGGGAGTTAAGGGAGGAGGAAACAGGAGGAAATCTGTTTGCCGTTTGATGTTGGATTCTTTAGCAGAGATATGAGCCTGAGGATCAGCAGACACTGAGACGACCGACATGGACAAACAGAAAGGTACCGTGACCCACAACAAGTCTTACAGATGTTTCAGGAATAACGACAGAGGCATAAAACTCATCCACACATGAAACCTGACGTTACCTGATATTTGTTTTTTATATTTAAAAATGTTTCACATGTATGAAATCATACACAGCATGCATGTTTCAGATGTAATCTGATTACAAATGGAGATTTACTTTGAAACTTTCCTTTAATGTGTTTAACATCCACGTACTCTTTTGTCTTTCATATCACGTGGAAAAAAAATGTTAAAACTAATTGTAATAAAGTACTAACAAAGCACTCAGCAATTACCAGGGCCAAAACTTGCAGTTCCTCCAGTTTCCACCGGGGGCAGCAGCGAGTCGGTCCCTATAGACTCCCATGTTAACACTTTACAGCAGTAATAAACACTTTTACAGCCCGATGTAAACTGTTCGGTCTCTGTAGGTATATTTGTGGTGGGTTGTATAGGTCACCTGTAAAAGGTTTAAGGTTTGCATTCTTAGGGGCGTGGCCTCTTTGACTGACAGGTGGATGGTGACGCAGGTGGCTGTAGCTGCTAGCTGTCTGCTAGCGTCACCTGAACTGGACTTTTGGACCGTGTTTGTGCTGTTGGAGCCTTTCGGAGCATTTTAATGACATCATCAGACCAATAATACTGCTGCTGTGAGGTCACTGTAGTAACAGACCAATCCAGTAAGAGAAAGTTAGGGATTCTGACTGGATGTTACTTATTAGCAAGTATCTGAGCTAGCTAGCATTACCTGATATGCAGTTTTTATGTTTATTTCCATGTTTGTCTATCATATTAATATATATACGCTGATATTTTGGCTGCTGACTCATGTGACCACTAGAGGTCAGGTGTGAGTTGTTATAAGTTGTACTATATTTATTATTTTGGGATGTTTTACGTTTGTAGTTATGAACAAATCAAACTAACCTTAGGCTTGTGTTGTATTGTGTATAAAATATTTAGATGGTGGTAATAGACTTGATTTCAAATGACTGGTTGATTAGATAGTTTAAATTCATTCATTAAAATCGGTATAAATAAACAGCAAAAAGCCATGCTGTTCTCTAACAGTTTAATTTATCTTCTGTATCATGTGAGAAACACTTTGTATATGAGCATGTATGTATTTGTGGCCAAAGCAGCTTTAAATCAAAGGAAGTGTTGACAGAAGGAAAAGGGCCATGATGCTGCTATAACTGGCTCCAGCTGAAAAGTTTAGAAAAAGCTGAAAGTGATTTAAGTTACTTTACCATGAAAACCAAACCCTAAAATTATCTGAAAGACAGGATTTCTCCTCACCGCCTGTGTGTGGGTACTTGCACAGCTATCTTTGTGGGGACCTATGTATTTATTGACTTTTTAAGGACCCTTCTGTGTTGTGAGGACAGACTCTTAAAGGCCCGTTTGTGGGTTTGGATTTAGTTTAAGGGTTCAGGTTAAAAAGAGGTTTAGGTTAGGGGGCCGTGAAAGGCCTCAGAAGGTCCTCACAATCACAGAAGTACAAACATGTGTGCAGCAGGGTGTGGAGCAGCTTTCTTTAATCTGGCTGGCAAGAGAGCAGAAACATTTACATTACTGCGCTGCTGTTTCCTCAAACTGACCCGCTTCCAGCTGGAGGCTGACCACCTCCCCACTAACCTGCTGCTTACCGGGACCTGTAGCCACTTTGCATTTTTATTGTTGTTTGTAACAACAAGTAACTCTGATTAGAGCAAACCAAAGTGATTTGAGAGATCAGTGTATCTAGATAACTCCCTGAAGTAACCGTACCACATTTAACGAGGTAAAAATACTCAGCAACATGTCCAACGTGTAAATGAGAAACTAAAGTATGTTCAGCTTCGTGTAACTACAGGTGTTGCAGTAAAATGCATCAGCAGCATGTCCCCATTGGGGCTGTTTTATCTACGTTATATATAGTAGATGATGGTTTTTAAAATAGGGTCAGCCCCCCCAAGAGGTCACCAGGTCATGGGATGATTTATGGGAAACAAGTAAAATCTATTTCCTGTTTTCAGAGCTAATTTAAAGTTTTTTTCTATAAATTTTGAGTAGGTCTTGTACCTCAGACTGAGCGCTACCAGGAGGAGCTGGGAAACATCAGAATACTCCTTTTAGCCAGCGATTAGCACATGAGGTCAGGAAACAATCTGACTTAATGGCAGAAAAATGTTAAAATTGTTGGTGTGGATACTTTAAAGACACAAACACACAGAAAATCTAAACAGTCTATTAGCTCAGTCTCCAGAGAGCAGCAGCGGGAGGAGGAGGAGGAAGTGATGATGATGAGGTGGAGGAAGGAGGATAGACGAGGACAGATGGGTATTTCTGATAGTTGCGTTGCTAACATACCACCGGTGTGATAAAGACTCCACAGCAGCAGGAGGATGGATTGTGACACGTTCTCCCTTACAGAATAAAAATGATGTTTTCTACAGAAAAAACACGGACGTAACCATGTGACTTCACCCATGGGTTTCTGGGACTTTTCATAGCGTTTCGGTTGCTTCCATGTTGTGAAACGATTAGTGGTGGTGAAGCCTCACAGACAGCGATCAGCTCAGCAACACAGGGCCAAGCAGTTTGTGTATCAGGCTGTAAACATGTTTATTTCTGCTGTCAGATTATAATGTGGACGTCTGTGGGACTGCCTCACTGCTGGTGCCCCTGCTGGACGTTACAGGAACTGCATGTTCAGCCTCTGTGGGAGCTTCTTTCACAGTTTTTAAATGATGAACTAAGTTATTAGGAAAACTACCTCACCTATGTTAAAACATACCACGTATGTATTATTGTAGGGTCTACCTTACACTATAAAGCACCTCGAGGTGACTGCTGTTGTGATTCGGCGCCGTATAAATAAAACTGAATTGAATTAATTGTGACAAAGTGATTCAGGTTATGGTCGTCTAATATTACATTTTATTTGATGACCTGAGAAACAAAAGTGACAAATAGCAAAAAAAGAAACAGTAAAAATGTTTTTTCGCAGCGTTGTAAGCAGGTTTATGTAAGTGTAGATGATCTAATGCCCAACGACAGTCAATTATCGGGTATCAGAACCTGAACGAGCTCTGTGGTTCCAGCGACTGCCCCCTGATTGGACAACGCTGGACAAACTGCTTCCTGGTTGGATGTAATTGCTGCATAATGTTGTTAGGATATCATTGTTGTGATGGACACCATTGGTACTGTAGTGTGACCGGTTTCAGCTGGAAACGTGACTTTTAGTTTAAACTGCTGAAGCAGATGCGTCGCTGAGGTCAGTCGAGTTATTTGTTTTTGACGGATTCGTTTAGGTTATGGTTTAAGGATAAGTGTCCAGGAAATGAATGGAAGTTAATGTACTAATGATGTAAACAGGCCTGAAAGTGTGCACTGCAACATCAAAGCCCGAGACAGGAAGTAATGCAGATGGTCAGATAAACAGCGTTCAGCAACACAAACTCTTGATTCTGTGTCCGTCCAGCAGCCGTCCGTCTCTGTCTCCTTTCTGCTGTTGTTGTTCGTCTTCAGGGTTTGTGGGTGTTTGAGGAATTTGCAGCTCGCTGCTTAAACAGCAGTTTGATTTAAATCAGCATCAGAGGAGTTAATCAGGAACATTTAGCCCTCGTCTCCCACTCGGCTCACAGCGTGAATGGACTCGGCCTCTCTGTATGAATGAGCCACCGGACAATCAGCTGCTGTTTCCTCTGCATGTTTTTACATGTTCTGCTCTGTGTTGTACTGATGATGACTCAGTACAGTTTACGTCTAAACAACAACAGAAAAGCATTAAAGACTGAAAACCTTTACTTAGTTACACCTACTCTGTGTCGCTGTTTCCCATATCCTTATATAAATACTGCATCCACACACACAGATGCTAATTAGTGTTCAGAGCTTCACTTCCTGGATGGTCTGAAGCCACAGTTATTGTCAGGTAATAGCTTTAGGAAACTCTAGTCATTACTGAGGATGTCCTCCATGTCCTTAATGTGAGTCTAGTCATGACTAAAGGTTGTAAAGGTTTATTAGGAGGTTCTATTTATCTGTGAAGTGGGCTTTTGTGGTGCTAAGGGAAGTTTTGTCGCCATCGAAGAGGTTCTAGTCATCCTTTAGGAGGTCATGCTTGTCTCCTGAAATCCTCGAGGTGGTTGTGAGGTGATGTTCTACAGGTCTATGAGGTATTTTTCTGTGAAGGGACTCTTACATACTCTTTAGGAGGTTGAAGAGATTCTAGTTTTTCTTGAGAACGCTGCGCTGGCCTCTGAGGATGTTTCAGACGTGCTAATGTTGGTTCTAGTAATGATTTGTGTAGTTTTGGATGGGGTTTGAGACATCTCCTAAGTGGTTATCTGTGAAGAGGGAACTTTAAGAGGTTGTGGTTGTCACTGAAGAGGTTCTATCCATCCCCTGGAAAGTTAAACTGGTGAGCGAGGGTGTTCTAGAAATCTTCATGGTGGTTGTGTGACTGGAGATCGCAGAGAGGTTCTAGAGGTCTTTTGAATGCCCGTCTGTGAGGGTGCACTTGAATAACTTTTGGGTCCCCTGTAGTAGGGGTGGGCGATATAAACAATATACGATAGAAACGATATAAATTTGGCCAACGATAGAGATTTTGACTATATCGCGATAGCGCATGTTGATGATGTCATCAAGCTGCGGCTGTTTTGGTCGAAAGCATCGCAGTGGCTACAACCATTATCATTCACAGCAAAGAGATGAAGCACATTTGAAATATGGGGAAAGCCAAAAACTGCGCTTCCTCCACTTCTGTAACATTGATTCATTAATGTTGGATTCTCTGCAGCTGCTCTATCCACATGTTGTTGCTGTATATTAACTCATTCACTGCCAGCCATTTACAAATCAGGTAACTCCCCACTGCCAGGGTTTTTGAGCATTTTTACTCATTTTTGAAGAGCCACAGAAAACTGTGTGTTATGATCATATAAACGCTGAACCTACCAAAATGAAGAACAGACTCTCTTCTTTCATCCAAAAAAAAAGCTTGTTTCTACCATTTTCCATTCTTTAGTAATCAGCTGTAGAAGAGAGGTGGGTTCCACCAAAAATGCCTGTTTTGACCAACAAAAGGGAGAAAACGAGCTTTTTGTGAAAAATACATTTCAAGCAGAAAAGTGTCTTTGACACTAATATTTCTTGCTTTGTGACACCTCTAACATATAAAATAGTTTTTCACTTCTATAAAACAGAAATAACACTGAGAAAGGTTATGTTTTATCAAAACAATTTATTTACAAATATATGAAAAAATAAAATTCACTGACAAGCTGCCCGAGGTTGTATTCTAGCCCCTCCCATTGAAAAACGTAATTGACGTCTATAGACGTCAATGGCAGTGAATGAGTTAATAACTAACCTGGTATTGTGGATGAATAATCTCAGTTGTTCTCCTGACTGAAGTTTGGCCCGTGTAGCATCCTGCTATGCGATTGCATTTGTCCCAAACCACCAGAATCCGTCACGTTAACTTTTATCGAGTGGAAAAAAAGTTGGCGTTCATCCTCCAGCTTCACTATGTTTATGCTAACATAGCTGTGTCGCTAGCAATCACGTAGCACAACATCATATACCAGCTAGCCCAACTTCAGTAACCCTACAAACGTCACTGCTGTTTAGTTTCTGTCTTCATTTATGTTGGAAGTGGTAGCAGAGCTGTACGTTTGAATTTGTTTCAAAAATCTCTCAGTCAGAACATGCTATGAAATGTTTAGGTGGAAACTAGTGAGCTAACCTCCTGCTAACTTCTAACTCCGTTAAATGTAATAAATTCTGTTTTCATGGATGTTAAACTTAATTGTTACACCTGGTAAAGCAGCAACGCTGATCATTTAATTAAAAATGAAAGAATTTAGACAGTTTTTAACTCTCAGTGTTCGTTTGACTTTGGGACCTGAAGCAGACGGAGTTTTGGGCCCAGATTACTCCGTGAAGCTCCTCACTACGGCAGCAGTAATGCTCTGACGACCCATCAAACAGTGCAGCTTATCAAAGTTGTACTAAAACATTTTTAACAGATTTCTGCAGCCAAAATCGGTTCGAGGTCAGTGAGCACAACCAGAATTCATACATAAGGAACTCTCGATTTTTGAGAAAATTAAAGAATTTTAAGTGTGGAAAACACGCTATACAGAAGAAAAGAATATATCGTGATATATCGTTACCGCACATGCTTCATATTATATCGCGATATGAATTTTAGGCCATATCGCCCAGCCCTACCCTGCAGGAGATTGCAGAGGTTCCTGTTTTCATTTAGAAGTTCTACTGGCCATGTTCTAGATGTCCTTATGATGATTATAGTGATGATTTATGTAGTTTATATGGACATTAGGCAGGTTCTAGGTGTGGTCCTTTAGGAGGTCATACCAGTCTCTGGGTTCCTGGGAGTGCTTATGGTGTTGAGAGGTTAAAAAAACAGTTTTCAGAGCTTTTTGTACATTTTTGTTTTGTTTTTTTAAAACGAATATAACTGTGGACTGTTGGACATCCTTAATGATTCATGTTAAACTAACAAAGGCCCTGACAGGCTGCTCTTACCTTCACTAAATGTTTTTGTTCTGTAATAAGTAAAGCTGACGGGGGATGGTCAGTTGCTACGAGCAGGTTGATTAAACATGAAAACTGTGATGAAGTCCGTCTGTGTTCGTGTTATGAATGAAGCCGTTGTTGTGTGTGAATGAATACTCACTCTGTTTCACTTCAGAAGATAAGAGCTGAAATCATTCAAAGGCAGAAAAACAAGATGCTGATTCTTCACTCTCAGACAGAAACACACATCAGCCGCGGCTCCTCATCTGCATCCTCAGATGATCGTAATAAAATGTGATTCACATGTAAAAGTCAGTTTCATACAGAACAACAGTCTGACCGCACCTGTTCAGGTAAACGTTTCCTGCACAAATATGCAGATGTTCTGGCCTTCACGTGTTAATTGATGACAGGATGCAAACTGATAAGCTCCTGGCTCCTGCCAATATTTAACTCAGAGTAAACACAGTTACATCACCTGAATCCCTGCTGTGCACAGGAACTCGAAAAGTTCGTTGTTTCTTTTTTCTTATCACATGAGAGAAAACTCATTATGGAAACTCAGAGCAGAGAAACAAAAACAAAAATGGATCTTATCTCGGCCAGCTTACACTCAGACTGTGGGAGCAAACCCACCTGCCACAGTAACAATCTGCCCAAACACACACTGTCCTCATAGTGAATCCCAAAATCTCAAAGAAATGATGCAAATATGCAGTTTTTAACATCCAGGAAACTATTTACACCCCTTCAGTCCTCAGATATTTTTACATTTCAGAATCATGAATCACATCTGGATTCATGTAAATTGCAGCTGTGGGTCAGACGCTCACTTTGCTGTATCCACTTATTTTTATCAAAACTAAAGTAAGACCTCGTTTTTCCTGGGCTGGTTCAGCTGCTGTATCAGCTCCAACCAAGCAGCCGATAGTGTGGTTGAACCCACACCGTCCATATTCAGTCTCTTTCTGAGAGACATAAATGAGTGTTGGGGTCGATTTGAAGGAGAAGACGGCCAAAATCAATCACTCCACTCGGAAACGAAGGAAGAACATTCTTATTATTATTCATCTCCCCCATCTCAGCATCCTCCACTGGCACACCAACCCTGTGGATGTCCTCCGTCACTACATCTGTGATCCTCCTCTTTTCCTCCGGCCCCAGCGTCACCTCCACACTCCTGTCTTTCCTTTTCTCTCACTTCCTCCTAACATGCCTTCCCCCCACCCTCCTCCTCGGCCTTCAATAAACCGCAGCATCATTTCCACCGACACCCTGTTGAGCACGAGCACAGGAGGCAGCCCTCCCATCCACCCCAGTACCCCCCTGACCCCCATGGCTGGACCAAAATGAAGAAAGAAAATGCAAGACTGAGATATCAGTGTCCATATTTTGGATGAGAGGGTGGAGTGGTAAGCTGGAGTCCAGGGGTCCAGTTCAGGTGAAGCTGTGTCACCATCCACCTGTCAGTCAAAGAGACCACGCCCCTTAATAATGCAAACTATGACCATCCCGTCCGTCCCATAGTTGTTATGAAGGAGGAAAAGGATCCACAGAGACCAAACAGTTTGTGTGTCAGGCTGTAAACATGTTTGTTTCTGCTGCAAAGCTTAAACATTCGAGTCTGTGGACAGACAGACAGAGTGTCTGTTGGCG